ACTCTAAAAATTAGCCATGAGTCCAAGAATTTTTCTTTAACTTCTGGGAACTTCGTATAACTTTAAGAAACTTTCTATATGTAATAGAAATTGATGAAACTTAGTTGGAATTGTGGGAACAACATAGATCTTCAGAAAAAATCGTAGATACAAGGAACTTGGAAAAGTGTAGATGTGGAAAATTTATTTATGTTTAAGGAGCTTTGTAGAAGTTAAGGGAACATTATTTCATTTCATGGACACTTATTATTGATCGGGAACCTCTATTTAATTTCAGGGAGCTTCGCGGGAGAAACGTATAAGTGCAGCAAACTTTGTAGAAGTTTTGCGAATTTCGTAGCATTTTGAAGAGCTAGTGAAGGAATTTTGAAAAAGTTCAGGGAGTTTTGTAGAAGATCGAAAAATAGTTCAATAAACTTCTAAGAACTTCAGGCCTCCTCGCTTCAGTTTAGAGAACTTCGTTGCAGTTTGTCAGGGATCTTACTTAAAAAAATCTCCATGAACTTCTTGGAGGTTTAGGGAATTTTATTAAATTTCAAGGAACTTGCTATATGTTCAAAAATATTTGTAGTTATCTTAGGTGTCTTTCCAGAAGTGCAAAGATGTTCAGATACCTTCGTAGAATTAAGAGATATGGGAAAAATATGGAATTTGGAGTAAATGCAGGGAACTTCTTAGAAGCTGAGGAAATTTTGTAAAACTTAAGGGAGTTTTGTAGATGTTCAGGAAACGTTGTATAAGTTTAAGAATATTCTTTCAGACATACTTCCTTGACAGCAGGAAATATTCGTATGATCTCGATATAAATACATGAAGATGTTAGTAAAGCTATCTGGATATTTTTTTTTCAAGACTCAAGTTCTGAGCATCTCTAACTTTTAAAAATTAAAACATTTTTTCAAGACTGTTGGATGTTCAAGAAGTATTCAGAAGTTTTCCAGCTAATTTGTAAATTCTCTATAAAAAAGACCTGTGCCTTGCTGATTTAGATAAATTGTCAAGAACAAGGGGTGTGACACAACTAAATCTCGAAATAAAACGGACGGAAAATCTCACACTAACGAATCAATCTACGAAAATCTTTTTTCATCTCTTGCATCTAAATCCATCTACTCGCATCGCTCTCCACCTTTTTGCAGGAAATCTTCAAAATCACAATCAATTGTGTTTTTATCTATTAAGCGCGAGTGCATCTCACAACAGCAAAGCAAAACATTTCCTGCATCTTAAGCCTAGTATACAGATCGAAGCGAAACAAAAATTGAAGCACGCGAAAAATCACGAAATTTCGCTAGCGAAAAAGGTTGTGAAAAAATGTTTGTGGAACATTTTCCAGTTACCTTTTTTCGCAGTTTACAGTTCATGTGAAACGAAATCAATCAGTTTAGAAAATCTGACAGATACGCTCTTTCTCGAAACGTCAACTTTTCGCTTAGCTGCTGCTCTTTTCGCTAGTGCTGCATGCGCGAAAAAAATAAACGAAAGCGAAAAAAATACGATCCACAAAATTAGATTTCGCTGGATCGTATATGTTTACAGTTCAAAGTGAAGTGAAAAATTTGCCAATTGCGTTTTTCACGCAGGTAAAAAATAGTATTTTGTATGAGGTTTTCACTTCGCTTCGATCTCTATACAGGCCTTTAGATAGAGTCACCCCCCTCAGTCAAGATCTTGAATTATGCATAGAAGGCCAGGAATTCAAAGCATGTCTAAATTTATTTTGAACAAAATTTCGTCGATTTTTGTTCCAGGCATATTTATTTCGTGGAGTTATTATGAAACTTCTGTTGATGTCAAACATAATATAATTATTTAAATTCTCATTCAATTTGTTTTTAATATGCCTGTACTACATTTTTTAAGAAATAACTGTCTAGGAAGGATCTTGCAATATTATCTTAGTCTTAGAATTATAACAATTGATCTAATTTACATTTGAATTCGAAAAAAAAATATAATTACGATCTGTATCAGAGATATCTATTTATTTAGTTTCAAAATCTTGAAAACAAATGGGTTTGGGATCTCAAAACTATATTTATTTTATCATTCAGAATGCTTAAAATTGTGCATGGACATTAGACTGATACAAAATTTTAAATTTTCGCTCCACAGTGTTCAAACGGTTTCAAATCGGGTCCTGATTAGCCTCCGAAAGTTTAAACTCATTTGATAAGAAACTGACTTGGCACAAACCATTTGAAGTTTATATGGAAATTGCTATGGGATAACAAAACTTTTTGTTTATTGTCTTCTAGCCTTTTTACATATTGTACTGTTAATAAATTATATTGCTATTCTTATGGGATTTTTCATCAGCTACAACTTTGCAGAAAATTGTTTTTCAGCCAAAGGTCAAATTAAATAGTTATTAATTGTTTAAGAGATTGATAATCTTATGGCAAGATTAAGCAACTGTATTGTGGGCAACACTGTATTCTGCAGTGTGACATAGTAGTCATGATTTTTGTCCTCTATACTACGCGCCATAAACACCAATGTTGCCTGCTGAACAATTGATTGAGCATAATCATAAGACATCAGTGACTTGAATCATTAATAATTTTTGTTCCTAACATTTGATCGAAAAGTGGTCTTTAACAAAGTTGTAGCTGAAAAAATTTTCAACAAGTTCAGCTATCATTTTCTAAAGTAGAGTGAACTGGTGAATTTTGAGATAGATATGAACCGAAATTATGGTTTCTCCATAGTAATTGCCATATAAACTTCAAATGGTTTGTGCCAAGTCAGTTTCTCACTAAATGAATTCACATTTTGGGAGGCTAATCAGGGCCCAATTTGGAACCGTTTGAGCACTGTGGAGCGAAAATTTCAAATTTTGCATCAGTCTAATGTACATATATCTTGAACATTTTCTTAAGTCCTTAATGTATGAAATTTATTCTGAGTACACTTTACCAGTTTTCAAAAACAAAATTTTTAGAAAATTGTAAATTTCAAACCCCTAGAATTTTATTTTGGTTCCTATGTCGGAGATTTTACTGATGATGAAACATATGAAATATTCAAAATAAAATAAAAAAGCTGGTTACAAAATTCATGGACTTACCTAACTCTGAGAATCTTCTTAAGTTTGGGATGCTTAAATTTATAACGCTATGTGATTTCATTACAAAAAGCATGAACAAACGATCATTGCTTGATCTAAATCAGTAAGCTTTTAAGGCTCCCCCAATCGAGGTCCGTATCGTTGTTATGAAATAAATATAATCAAAATTATTGTTTCACCATTAAAATAATAGCAAGCCTCAGTGGCGTCCATCTGAGACTGTCTCAGTGAGGTTACGACTTTTTACCTGTGCACCAACTTTCTAAACCAGATTTAATGCCATAATTATACTCGAATCGGTTGAAAAAGACACTTACTATTATAGTTTTCTCGATATCTATCCATTGCAAGCAATACTTTGATAATTGTTTCTGTTTTGAGAATTTGTGCACGGGTAGATTGAGGCTAAGAAAACGCCACTGGTAAGCCTCAATGTCATATTATTGGTCACAGAAAAATATACCAAAAAACAAAATGTCTTGACGCAATTTGATTGCATAGCATCTTCGCGAGATTTTATTTAACCGTAACTAAGCAAAAAAAAAATAACAGCCACATCCCCTAGGCCCCCTCCAGATAAATTTTCTAGCTACGCCAATGGAGATTCCTGCCACTTCCCATGGACAATTACTACAGCTTTCCCAGAAGTGCTTCTTCCGACATCATCTTGGAGTTTTTATTTTCAGACTTGCTTACGACTCTTAGGATTTCTCCGGGAAGCTCATTTCTACTTACCCCAGAAGTCCTGCTAATATGCCCCGAAAGTGTCTGCTGACTACCGCTATAAGTTTCTCTGTAAATTTCTTTCGATTCGTCCCGAATGCTCATGCAGACGTCCCCCGGAAATTTCTTCCGACTTTTTTCTGTATGTTTATCACCCGACAAATTCTGTTAGCTTCCAAGCTACAACTGGTAACTTTCCCGGGAATGGTTTTCTAGTCGGTGATATACATATGTATTTTTAGTTAAAATGTATATTTAGCATTCCTTTTTAGCTGATTCCAAGAAAATCTAGCCAGCTTCCCTAAAATAAGGATCAAATCTAGATAGAGCTGGAATTAGGGCGTAGCATCCTTTGTAAACAATGACTTCTCTCGTTGATTTCTCGGAATTCAAGGCTCGGCTACACAAAGCATCATATCCATCGGGTAGGAGAAGTCCTCCTCTACTCGATGGTGATGTCGATTTGCCATGGAGTGCCATGGCTTCCGATAAATCATCAGAAGTCATTGTTTACAAAAGCTGTTACGCCCTAATTCCAGCTCTATCTAGAAATATTTGTTATCACGTAATTTGTCACAACCAACCCCCCCACCCCCACCCCTCATTGCAATCCTGGCTGCACCACTTGCAAAGTCAGTTTCTAACTAACTGAATTCAAATTTCTAGAGGATGATTCAGGACCCGAATATGTGGAATGGTTTTGAGCACGTGGAGCGAAAATTTCAAATTTTGCATGTTATTATAAAATAAATGTTTTTGTAAGACCCACATCGATTATACACTGGATTGATTTTGTCATCAGTGTCCCGATTTCTGGAGTGTGCTCCATGCTTCGCATTACCATCTTTGAAGTTAAAAATTCGGGAACAACCTATAGACTCCCCAAGTAACCAACAAGCCCGCTAATTCGCCTTTTTGTAATATAAGACAAAAATATGCTGCTAATATAAACCTTAGCATGCCCTATGTTAGCCGTGTATCAGCCTTATATTGCAAAAAGACGAATTAGCGGGCTTTTTGGTTACTTGGGTCAGCAAGCAAACGTAACTTTTCTTAAGATCTAAATAAAACTTATTGCCGGACAGCTCGACGGTGCAAAAATTAGCGAGATTCAAACAAAATTAAATGCATAGTTTGAAGAGTTGACTATTTTTTATCACATATAAAATTAGAAAAATTAATACATCGAACATGAAAAACAACTAACCAAAAAATGATCATGGACATCATCATTATACCAGGAAATTTCCTGCTTCTCTTCTGGTATAGGATTGGAAAACGTTTTGATTCTGTTATGTGTTGAATCTCTGTGTCGGAATGGGCGGAGAGTTCATTATTGAGAAACTAATTTAATTCAGCATATTATATACTATAATTACCGAAAATAATGGATTCCGTCATCGATCCAATGCGAAACTGGTGCATCATCATCGTGTACATCGTTGACTACGTTTGATGTACCATCTGAGTCCAGTGACGGTAACACAGTTGTTATTGCATTATCGGGTTGATTAAAATCCGAATAATAATTAGCTACGTTTTCGCTGTACCTAATTCCTCGTTTTTCACGGATATTCTATTAAATAGAAATACAACACATTTAAAATATTTCCTCAATTTACGTAAAGTTATGTTTAGTTACCGGTTCTGTATAAATAAAATGGGCGTCCAAAATCACTAGAATGAGTGTTCCTATGTTGTTGGCATTCATTTTTTTTTTTGATAGGTAGCTGCAATATTAAGCATTATTAAATTTTTCAGTTGTAATACATTTGAAAGAAGTGTTACATTTATTGAAAAAAAAAAAGAAAAAAACTTATTCTATCACACTTAATCACAGCCCACCTGATCGGATTTTTTTACTGAGTTTTTGAGCTACTTAAAAAGTCAGGAACACTAATAAATTGGAAAAAAAGAAGAAAAAACATGAATTGACTCAAAATGTTTATAGACTGTGTTTTCTGTTTGGAGTTGTTCATAAGCCACGTATGCAATTTAAGGTGGTTCACGGTCCATACACATTTCAAAATAATTGCAAGGACGATTGCCTCGGGGAAGGGTGGTCTAGGCCATCTCGAAAAACGGTCTACGAAGTTTATGAACAGCTCCTTACAACTGTTTGATGATAAAAAGTATTATATGTTAATATTGTTCGTTTCATAGTGTGTAACGGTTACAGCAACAATCAATACGGAACTAACGATTTTAAATTGGCTCACTACTTGACTAGCCTATTGGTCCCAAGCAAACGATTAACGAACCCCATTCTAGTTGAAATTCTAGTACTACGCAATGTTTGTTTTGATTCGCTATGAAAGTTTGACAGATAGAATGAGAGGTTATTGGTTTTTCCAGGTTTTTGTTTCGAGGGGTGAATCGATTAGCTTGGGACCAAAGAGAGTACCAGAGCTGAGCCAAAAAATTGAGCACGGTTTTTCGGGACCTTCTAGTCTTAGAGTTACCTCTATGGTTACAGTACAGTTAGCGACTTTTTTAGTTGTTTAAAATTTACCGACTTCAGTAAAATAATATGTGTGTGTAGCACTCCAGTGCCAATCAGAATAGGAATTTATCAGGACAATTCGTTCATAATAGCAACAGGAAAACGAATTACTCAGCTCAACCAATGTAGGTCAGTTATTCAAACGCTTATAATAAACAGCACTTAAATTTTTTCGCCGAGATTCCAACAGTCGAGTAGTTCTGCAATTTATTTAGCTGAGATTCAGTGTTCATAACTGACTTCGGTGAAATATTTTACTGAAGTTTCGGTAAACAAAGCGTTCCATTACTGAGTTCGGTAACGGTCTCGGTAAACGTCAAATCCACCATATTTTGATTTTCGATCGACTTTGAAAACGTTCGTGTTTGTGAAAAATAAAAAGGTGAAATCATGGAGGCTGTTATGCAATACCAAGATGAGCGAATCGTAGATATTTTCCGTAAGTAGTTAATTTTCGGTATCTAAATAAAAACCGATGACAGATGGCCGATAATGTTGCTTATAGACTTCTCTACCACCGTCAGTATTGATGAGCAGTTTCACTAATACAAGCGTTGTACTGGTTGAAAATAAAAAACAAACCGCTGTCAAGTCGAACGCTTTGACAGCCGATTTCGTGGTGAAATCTTGCGGCAAGAAGTCAATTTTTTTCTGTCGGTCCAAGTTCCATTCCCGTTGGCGACGATCCGAAAGCAGCATTTGGAATCTTCATCCAATGCTTCCCTGTTTTCAGTGTAGCGCCGAATCCTTCCGTCAAAAACTTGTTTTTGTTCATTGGTGGTGCAATTTGCAACACTAACACATTGATCGCGACTGAAACCAAATTTTTGCATGGGTTGCAGTGACCGCAACCTTGAAAGAATATTAAAGCAAATTACAGTTGCATCGGTTACCTTTTTAAAAAATTACAGATCTCTCGGTAATTTTCGATTTGCATATTGGCCTCAATACTACAGTTCTCCGGTAAAGTCGACTACAAATCAAGCAATGCACATCGGTAAACGTTACCGATCGTTCGGTAAATTTGACAGCTAATTTTGCTGATCCAGTTTACAGATTTTTCGGTGATGTTCTCGATTGCCGAAAACATTACCGACCGTTCAGCTGTTGAGAATTCGATTAATGAATTACCGAAGTCGGTGATTTTTTCTAAGTGTGTATACCATGCTACATCTTAATAAATAACACTTTTTTGAAAATTAAAAATGGTCCAAAAATACACAGCTTTTTGGTGCGCTTGAGATGGAAAGACGGAAAGTCTAAAAAATTGAAAGTTTTTTTTTATTGATTGACGAATAAATAAATAAATAAATAAGTTCAAAGTATTACAAAAACAATTGAACTACCTATATGTGTGATTATTGTAGGTCATAAAGAGGATCCAAGTATGCATTGGCGATGTCTGAATATGTCCCAGATCCAAAACTTACCATGGGACTTTTAAAGTCACATGAGCATTCAAGAACAAATCATTGAAGGGTGATACGGTCAAAATTTGGTCAATATCAACTTGACGTATTTCTTTCAATTTTGCATTTAAAAAACCTGAATGCCCCTCATTTTGAAGGTGTGTGTGTGTAGAATGTTGCTCCTATTTTGATTTTGGAATTCACTCTTCAGTTGTCAAAATGCCGTCCAAGCAAGAAGAGCAGCGTATCAAAATTTTGCTCGCGCATCGCGAAAATCCGAGCTACTCGCACGCAAAGTTGGCAAAATCGCTAAAAGTTGCCAAATCAACCGTTACAAATGTAATTGTTTGGGGAACGTTTGTCGACAGCCAGGAAGTCTGGATCGGGGGGAAATCGAAAACCGGAAGCCGCTGAGACGACAAAGAGAGTTGCCGGTAGTTTCAAGCGAAACCCTAACCTCTCTCTCCGAGATGCCGCAAATAAGCTGGGTGTATCGTCTACAACCGTGCATCGAGCCAAAAAACGAGCCGGACTATCGACTTACAAGAAGGTAGTGACTCCAAATCGCGATGATAAACAAAATACGACGGCCAAAGCGCGATCCCGGAGGCTGTACACGACGATGCTGACGAAGTTTGACTGCGTGGTAATGGACGACGAAACCTACGTCAAAGCCGACTACAAGCAGCTTCCGGGACAGGAGTTTTATACGGCAAAAGGAAGGGGAAAGGTAGCAGATGTTTTCAAGCACATGAAACTGTCAAATTTCGCAAAGATATATCTTTTGGCAAGCCATCTGTACCTGTGGCTTGAAAAGCAGCATTTTCATAGCTTCCGGGACTGTCAACCAAGAAATTTACGTGAAAGAGTGTTTGAATAAACGTCTGCTGCCTTTCCTGAAGAAACACGGTTGTTCCGTACTGTTTTGGCCGGATTTGGCATCTTGCCATTACGGTAAAAAGGCCATGGAGTGGTACGCCGCCAACAACGTGCAGGTGGTTCCCAAGGACAAGAACCCTCCCAACACGCCAGAGCTCCACCAAATTGAGAAATACTGGGCTATTGTCAAGCGGAACCTAAAGAAGACCAAAAAAACTGCTAAGGGCGAGCAGCAGTTCAAGGCAAACTGGCTTTCTGCGGCGAAGAAGGTGGACAAGGTGGCTGTACAAAATCTGATGGCAGGGGTCAAACGTAAGGCCCGGCAATTCGGATTCGGAAAAGCGGAAGCCTAACTGAATATTTTTCCTGAATTTTATACTAATTGAACTTGAAAAAGAAATTTAATTTGATTTTTTAAATAAACGATTTCACCGATTTACACGCGTTTTCCCTTGACCAAATTTTGACCGTATCACCCTTTAGTCTATTTTGCACGCAAGGCATCTACAATATGAATAACGAATTAGTTTATTAACCTGGATAGACCTGTGAACGGATCACCTGGAGTACACTCACTGAAAAAAATTCGACACAACAGTCAAAGTATGCCCATGCAAGCAAAGAGCACTATCGGGAAGGAGAAAATTTCCCCTATCCGATTGTGTCTTTGGTTTGCCTGGGCATACTTCTGATACTTCGGTTTGCATCAAAAGGGCCAAAAAAGTTTTGTTTACAAAAGTTGATAGGCCCTTTTCAAATGTTATGCGAGCATTATCCATGAACACTAAAGGGCCACCCACATTAGATCCGTTTGCGTTGCGTTGACGTAAATTTGACAGTAAGACAATAGATTTAGCTGTCACTTTGCCGCAACGCGTCCGATCCGGATCTAATGTGCGTGGGCCTTAAGTGTTCATTTTAAATAAACAGGACCCCACTGTTATGTCAAATTATTTTCAGTGTGTACACCGCTCTTTTGAGTCTGCTTGTTTTCTGTCAAACGTCAGTCTGATCGTTTATTTTTAATACTAACCTCAGGTTCGCACTGACAAAAAGTTCGGTTGTTGGAACTGGTTGGAATTAGCTATAAGTAAATTCGAACATAATTGGTTTCTTATGAATTATCGGCATTGTCCGTCTTACCCCGGTAGTAAATTATTTAGGAAAACGCCTGCGTAAAAACAAAATTTATCTTTTTATTTCAACAATCGTAAACAATGTTGTAAGCATTTACTGTTTAGGTGCTGTACAACCTTAGGAATTGCACAACAACATTTACATCACCGCAAGACCGATTACTTTTTTTTTATGATAATATTTTTACAAGTTTTACATTTGACAGCTCCCGTACCAAGATGTGCATTCTGAAATGCATCAAATATCGTAAGCTACAATAATTGGTTGATTGATTTCTTTATTATAGAGACTTTCAGCTGTTGAAACTACAATAAGAAAAAAGGCCCTAAAATTAATTTTATTTCACCCAAATAGATATTAAAGTGTGAGAAGCTAAAGTAACTAAAGACCTTTGTACTCATTTTTAAGTATCCGCATCAAAGGGCTTGGATAGGTGAACATTAATTGATGGTTGGAAGGAATGACTGACGTTTAAAAAAGATTAAAAATGTAAACAGATCGCACTTGAACCATAGAGGTAACTCTAAGACTAGTAGGTCCCGAAGAAACGTGCTCAACTTTTTGGCTCAGCTCTGGTACTATCTTCGGTCCCAAGCTAATCGATTCACCCCTCGAAACATAGGAAAAACGAATAGCCCCTCATTTCATCTGTCAAACTTTCATAGCGAATCAAAACAAACATTGCGTAGTACTAGAATTTTGGCTCAGCTCTGGTACTATCTTCGGTCCCAAGCTAATCGATTCACCCCTCGAAACATAGGAAAAACGAATAGCCCCTCATTTCATCTGTCAAACTTTCATAGCGAATCAAAACAAACATTGCGTAGTACTAGAATTTCGACTAGAATGGGATACGTTAATCGTTTGCTTGGGACCAATAGGCTAGTCAAGTAGTGAGCCAATTTAAAATCGTTAGTTTCGTATTGATTGTTGCTTGAACCATGAACGTTGCGATGATTAGGCCTATG